TCTTCAGAAATAAAGTTAGATTAAGTGGTGCAACACAATAAACACATGAAAAAATTGAACTGCAGACAAAAATAAAATATTATGGTCAAATGTGGACCTAAAAACTGTGCAAATTTTTGTCTTTTTATACAATTTTTTTATAGTTAAAAAAAGACTTTCTAAGTTTTAAGTACATCAAGTTTGATTAAAACATCTGGGGAATATATAAAAAGTTATTTTGTTAAAAATCATTTTCCAATCACCTTTTAGAATTGTTTATATTTATTCTTAAAGCATGAAAGCAGTGAGAAAATTTGATCAAAATAGAAAAAAAAAAGACACAAATCAGCAATGGTATTTTAATTTGCTTTTGCAACTATGAATGTTAAGTCTTGTTATATCTTTAAATTAAAATAATTCAAAATAGAATAATTATTTAAATTTAAAAAATATTAATATAATAATAATAATTATTATTATTTTAAATAATAAAACTGTTACTACTACTAATAATATTGCACTATAAACAAAGAGAAATCTAACCTTTATAAAAACAACATTTTGAGAGCATTTCAAAGTTTTTTTTTTTTTGTTTAACAAAACTAAATAAGAGTGTAAAGGAAATTCCTAAAATGTTTCTACAATGAATATTATTAAAATTACCATGTTAATGTTCTATCTTCATTCAAATAAAAGGTGTAATCTTTAATATTGAAATATTTGACAGCATTAATGCATTCTATAAGAAAATGTATAAAGGTATAAAAAATGTCTTAGTGAATAGTCATGAACAACATCTATTGTTGCTCATTAAAATATCAATTGTCTATAGTATTTTAGTAATAAAGTGCATTATATTATAAATATTTGTCTAGTCTAGCTTAAGGACTGAAGTGAATGTTTTGACTAATATATCAACAATGTCTAATATCCTCAAGGTTAGCAATATTATAGACCCAGAATATTTTATAAACGAAAAACAATTATTCATGATATCTTATTGGTGGAAGTGTTTTATATTATGATACATGAAATATTCACATTTTAAAAAAATCATTTGCTATCAAGAAATAACTGTTCATCAGTGTTTTGTCACAACTTTGTAGAATCCCATGAAGTGTTTGGATTTTGTTAAATCATTATATCGTTTTATTGTCTCTTTATTGTCATTATTTTTTAGCTGTTCTTTTTTTTAAACATGAAATAGCTCTACAAGATTTATTCAAATCGAAGTTTTAGGTTTTGTTTTACAAAGAAAATTAAATCGATAATCTTGCAATTTCTTCTTTGTTAAATGAATGAAGCAACTCTATTGATAGTTGCAGGATTTTATGTTTAGTGTACCAATAAAACATATAATGTGGCTGGAGAACGAATCCTTACACGTGGACAACAGGTTAGAACAGTTCAAGAAAAATCTTAATGGAATGAGTTTGTACTGTTTAAAAGATTACGGAATGTAAAATGCAAAATAAAATTGCCAAATTAATAAAAATAATTAATTAAAACTTCAAGAAATACTAAATAATGAGTTTCTTTTTTTCCATTCGTAAAACATGTATCCAAAGACCCTCACCAAAAAAAAAAAAAAATTATTGGGGAGCCAATTTAAAGAAGTAAAGATCTCAAATTGAGATTATATATTATATTAATATATGCAACCTCAAAATCTTTACAGGCAAGTTTAATGTTTCTAACGAGTTTTTATATCTGAGATGAGGTAGCATTCAAATCCAGGGACTAATTCTTGAATAAAAGATTTCAGTTAATTTTCACAGCCTGAAGAAGGTTGAAAAGTAGTGATTGAGAAATTAGATAACTGCAACAAAGTAGATTAAATTGAAAACAAGAACTCCTTTGGTATCAATGATCGCATGTTTTCAATTCTGCTTTGACTATCAATTAAAATTGAAGATCTCAGTGCAAAATGTGTCTAAGTCCCATTTTAAATTATACCCAACTTCCATAGCAAATTTATTTTATAATGAATTTATATAAATAAATCCACATAAATTTATGCTTTGTGCAAAAAGACATTACCAAGTCTTTAATAAAGCAGATTTTTTTGTTTAAAGTATTATTAGTGCATCCTGAAATTGGAATAAATCAGATGTATATCTCACTGGACGTAGTAACTTCTTGCATTTGTGACTTCATCTAAAATAATGTCTCATTTGTCTTAGATGCATTTTAAAACAGAGACCTGCCATATTGGAAATAGAAACAGTTGATTTCATTAGGCAGATTTATAAATTTTCAAATTTTATTTTGTAACGGTAAAAATTTTTTATCAATTTAATCACGCTGTTGCTTTTTAGTAATTTTTCATATTTTTATCATTTTTGGTTGTTATGCTTTCCTTGTATAAAATTTTTAATTTCAGGCTGTGTTCAGATAATTAAATTCCAAAGTTGGTCACTGCCAAACCTGATATCTGTAATAAAGCAGCAACTCTAAGTAAAAGCTTATGAACCATTTTAATTCTCTTACATCTTTGAAAACTGATTGATTCTTGGAATAATCTTTCTAAAGTTATAATCTTAGGCCAAAATACCGATACCTAAGTCATCTGATTGTTTTAATTTCAGACAAGTTCCTATTTTAAATTGCAACAAAACTACTTTAACATTTATTCCATGTGGAAGAATACAGTAACTTTGGTCTCATTACCTGGAAGGATTTTTGCCAATTATCAGTATCAATAGTTTGTTAATTTGGGAAATTCTAATTGCAATATAGCAACAACTCTAAGTAGAAGCTTATGAAACTTTATTTGACTAATTCAGCTTCAGTGCTGAAAATGTTTATTTTATTGTCATGGATGGTTACAAGTGAGAGGGGAGATGGGATGTGCTTATTTTATTGCCACACTAAGGGATTTTCTGCAGTTTTTTCCTTGTTTTTACTCTATATTTGTATTTATGTTTCTGCCGTGGTTAAAGTTAGTCTTAATAATTGTACTAGTTGTTGTGGTTAGATGGATTATTGATAAGATGATCCCACCACAAATTGTATTAATCTGTGACTGATTGTAGTGGGAGTAAAAGTTCTGTGTTCTTTCTTGGAGATTGAAATCTAAATAAACAGCTTCACAGGATATGCCATAATTCTCGATTGTCAGTTGAAATAAAACTCATTTTTTAGTTTTATTTGATCATCACTGTTTAATAAAATAGAAAATCAAAAAACAGGATAGCAACTTAAACATTTTTACTGACTAAAAATAACATTTAAGAAATAATGTCAGATAAAAAATTCTCTAAAAAATTACTGTTGTTTACATTTCGGGTACGAAACTGAAGCTGGCAGATATAGATTCGTAGGAGTCCAAACGAGAAACATGCTTTCATTAAATAGATAATTCGAACCTTGCTCTGTCGGGCTGGCTCTGTGGCTGAACTGGTAGAGGCACGCTTTGGCTCAAAAAGTGGTTTTCCTGATGGAAAATAAAACCTTAGTTTGTTTACTTGTTTCATTTTTAAATAGTGATTGTAATAACAACAGCAATTTTAGGAAAATAAATTTTAACACCTTAAAAACAAAGAATTTTTCAGGCATTATTGGATTCTTGATGAATAAGCAAATCTTACAACCCATTAATGATAGATTTGTTTCTTTTTAACTCTGTTGCTCTTCAACAATTATGAGTCAGATATTATTCTTAATTTAATTACTGTAGTATTAAATGAAAATATTACAATTAAGAGAAGCTTAATATTACCTCAACTGATTTCAGTATAATACTAATTTTCTGATGTACTAATTATGATAATAGGCAAAAGTCAAATAATATATAATTATATTTGGTAAGTAGTTTTACTTAGTAACTTTGTAGATTTATTACTTTTATAAATCATAACAAAAAACTAAATTTAGAGAATTGTCTAGTTTAAAATAAAAATGGATTTTTAAAGAATTAACTTTTTTAAGGTTAAAAAACATTTTCAAAGAATTATTTATTTATAGAATTATTTAGTTTATGACTAAAAAAAAAAACTTTAAAAAAATGATCAGTTTTAAGATAAAAATAATTTTTAAAGAATTAACTGTTTTAAGTTTAAAAAACATTTTCAAAGAATTATTTATTTATAAAATTATCTGCTTTAGGATTAAAAACATTTTGAAAGAATTATCTATTTATAGAATTATCTATTTATAGAATTATCTGCTTTAAGATTAAAAAAAACATTTTGAAAGAATTATCAATTTTAAGATAAAAAAGGATTTTTAAAGAACAGTTTTACGATAAAAATAACATTTTAAAAAAATTATCAGTTTTCTCAAGCAGTGACTAAATTTGAAGCATTTAAAACTATTCTTGGTAATATTATACAACCTCTTTGTCCCTCTCTATTTTAGATATGGTACTCAGTTTTTTTTTTACTCTTGATTTGTTTTATGTTAGGAAACATTTTTTACAGTTTGTGCTCCCATTTTATTTGGCTGTCCCAAGGGCCATATTTTTTTGCACAAGAACTGATTTTACTCACACTTGCTTTTTTTCTTTGATTCTTTCTTTCAATCACACAATGAAGACTCAAAATGGTTGGCCAGAATATAATAAATATACAACTAAAAATAACTTTTGTCTGAGAAAGAAATGAAAATAATTGGTAGATATTAAAATAAAACTGAAATTAAAAAAGAACGACTGATGAAAACATTGATGTTATTATTGGTAGGTGTGTCACTTCCTTAATGAAAAATAAAGGTATGCTTTTCAAAATGTTTTAAAAAAAGAACATTCAAAAGCATCCCGAGATTGTACAATTTTTAGACATTTAATCTCACCAATCAAATTTAATGCTTTTGCCCATGTGACCAGTCTGGCTTAGGTTTATTCAAATGCTTCGAACTTTGGCAGTTTTTAAATACATTGTATCAACTTAGAACAATCATGATAAAGATTAATAAAATTGTAAAAAGGATAAAAAAACCTGATAGAACAAAAAGATCAAGGTTTTTTCTTTTAATAAAAAAAAAAAGGGGGGTTCAGGTTTTCATCATCATCATCAGCATCATCAAAGTTCAGCATCCCCTCGTCTCCTTCGAGTCATGACCTCTTCATAAGTTGGTAGATCCGTAGTAGAAGACAGAACCACAGGTGATGTTGCAGGGCGTGGGGGTGGAGAAGCTAAGGCTGGTGGAGAAGAGGGCAGGACAGTGGGTTGTAGTACAGTCCATGTGCCCATCTGCTGATCCATAGCAGAGACTGGAGAAAGTGTATTGGAAGCAGCACCACTTCCCGATGGGGGTGCATGGATTTCTGCCCAGCTAACACATTCCAAGGCTGATGTGGAAGTCTGTGGTGACTGCATGATGAAACTGCCCCCACCACCTGCCCCACCCACTTCAGATGGTGGAAACGGATCTAATGTTGTCAGTGTTGATAATTCCTCTACAGGTTTTTGGGAACTAAAATCTGTTAGGCATATCGTGTTGCCTGTTGTATCTTGGGTCTCTGGTTGGCCAGAAAAGGAGGATACAGAATCCAGAGAATCTGAAATAAAATCAACAAAATCAAAATAATTCTTAAGAAAATTTATATCTTGCATAAAATCAAGGTTATAAGTTTTTTTGTAAAATCATCAATTCAAAAACATAAGCAGGAGAAATAAAATAGTGATTTGGTAAAAATTATATAACTAATATATTGTCGTTAATTCCATTAAGTTAATAGTTAAAGGCGATGGTGGTGTGAGTGGCCTAACAGCAAATGGCGATGGTTGTGCAAGTGGGCAAATGGCTAGTATCAATGGCTAAGCAAGTGGCCTAACAGCAGCTAGTGTTGATGGTTGTGTGAGTGGCCTAATGGTAATGCAGGTGCATGTGACTTAATGGTAGTGAGGGTGTGTGTAGCCTAATGTTTGATGGCAGTGGTGATGCCATGTTCTTTAAACTTGCTTGCATATCATTTTTTTCACACCTGGTGTTGGTGTATGATAACCTCTTCCAATTTGCCTGAAGTAAGAACAGAAGAGGAGGAGGCTAGTGAAATTAACATGAAAATAAACCAAAGATTTACAACACAGAATTATCATCTCAAAAACTTTTTGTTGCAATCAACAAAATGGATCAGCAGACAGAAGTGATAGCTGTGAAAAGGGGATTACTTCAGTAGACTTGGAGTGGTGTTTAAAATGTGATTAGAGGAAAAAGAATTATAACCACTCAGAGCCAAGCTCCAATGTGAGTACAGAATCTGCCATTGGGGGAGATAGTAAAAAGATGAAGAGTGGTCAGGAATTAATTATATGTATAAAGTAAATGCATTGCTAATGATTTTACTATAGGAATGCATTGAAAATCAGGAACAAAGGGATTGTCAGTGGTCAGGAATGAATGTAAGCATTACTGATAGAATAGGGCTATTATATATATAATGTAAATGCATTGATAATGATTTTACTATAGGAATACATTGAAAATAAGGAAGAAAGGGATTGTTAGTGGTCAGTATTGGGAACAACAGTAATTAAGAATTGTTTCCATGTTCCTCAAAACCTGCAATGTCCTGATCATAAGCCTTGTTGTTGGATGTCATTTATTGTCATAGCCAGGAGTGTGCCAGGAGGTAAAGTTGGCAATCTAAATTATTAAATAAGGGATTATTTATCATTAAATTATGGCCAGTTGTTTACATGCAAAAAATATTTAATAGGTAATATGGCAACAGAAGACTTCTGGTTTATAAGCAGTAATTTGAGCTTTGCTGAACCGGAAGTCCTCTGTGGTCACATCATGCCAGGCCAAATGACAGTTTCCTCATAGGATACAGGTTCAATTCGTGTTGGAGACACATATTTTCTGCAAAATTTCATGAATATTCCGGCCAGTAAATGTTATTAATACCACTCAATTAAAAACAGAGCATTTACTCAAATAAGTTGTATCTATAAAAATAACATATAAACAGAAAATATATTAAAATGTATGTGTGTGTGTGCGTGTTTGTAGAATGTATAATAGTAGCTGAAGCAAAAGTGGAAATGATGAGAAAATGGACAATATAGTTAAATTCCCAGATGAATTCTGTAGACAAGACAGATTGGTATAAAATGACAATTGGAAAAAAAATCTTAGATTTTGCCGACACGTTTCGTCTTCCGACTTTTTCAAGGCAAAAATGAAATTGAAATGTTTTTGTCGTTATAGTTACATTAAAAAATCCAACTTTAAAAAGATAGATGCTTCCTTTTTTCTTTTTTTTTTTTTAAATAAGTCCCTTACTATAAAGGTAATTTACATTAACCAGAAAAAAAGGCTTAGACAGAAGCGTCTATCTTTTTAAATTTGGATTTTTTAATGTAACTATAACAACAAAAACATTTCAATTTCATTTTTGCCTTGAAAAAGTCGGAAGATGAAACGCGTCGACAAAATCAAAGATTTTTTTCCAATTGTCATTTTATACCAAAATGGACAATACAATCAATTTTTACCAAACGGAAAAATGTAAGAATGTTGGAAAAACTAAAGAAAAAATTCATCAAATTTTCCTTGTTTTTTGTATTCAATGAAAAATTAACTTATATTGAACAAAAATAAATTACAGTAGATTAGAAAATTTATAATTATTGTCATATCAAAATAATTTATGATTAACAAACTATTTAACATGTTCAAAATGCTCCCTTTCATATTCAATACAACGGCAAACCCTATCAGCAACATTTCTATTTAACACAAGAAAATTTATCAGAAATTGCTCATTTTAATTCAGGAATTGTTTTTGGTTTGAGCCTGTAAACAAGATCTTTCAGTATATCCAAAAGGAAAAGTCTGATGATCATGATAGCCACTCAATTGCTCCATGTCATCCTATCCAGCTCAGCTCAAAATTAAGATTTAATCATTCCCAAACACATAAGCCATAGTTAATCTTAAGTCATCTTAATCTACTGTAACTTGTTTTTTGTTCAATAAAAGATAATAAATAAAAAAGGATATTACCTTGGCTGCACCCTGCATGGATATATATATATATATATATATATATGGTGGACTCTCCTGTTGTATTTGACAAGCAGCTCAGTCCCTAGGAACTGACAGCCCAGACACCAGCACATATGATTTGATTATAGTAGTGGGGCTTTGTACAGAACCATCCACACTTTTTGAAGGGCTGAATACAAAGACCTGGTGCAGTAGGTGTCACAAGGTCTCCAAACAACCCCCTGCAGGTTTTGAATTCAGAGTTGTCCTTCTCCTAGACTAGTTGCCATTCAAGGCTATAGAACCCAGTCTGTCCTGCTATTTACCCATAGCTGGAGGGAGAAGAAGAGGATTCATAACTTTCCCAAGGTTATTAGCATGCAAGTGAATGTAATAAATAGATTCAACTGGAATTCGAATACGGCTCTCCGATTCCTCAACCTGAGCTGCTATCCACTACTCCACCATGCCTTTTCCGTCTCCTCCTCCTCTCTCTCTCTCTCTCTCTCTCATATATATATATATATATATATATATATATATAATTTGTTTAGCCAGATTTGCACTAAAAATTTAAAATAAAATTAGAAGTTTTGTGGGAAATCTCACCAGGAATATGAGGAATGAAGAAATCTCTTACCTGAATCCCAAGACACAGCCCGCATTGTGTATTTTTGGAATTGACACACACAAGCCAATACACCAAGAAGCACCAAAATGACCATCACTCCTATCACAAGTTTCCTGAACAGTTCCGGGAAGTTATCCTTTCGACGACGAGGGGGTGGTTCTCTCTTATCGTCAATTTCATTTTCCGGTGCACGGCCTGAAACAAAATTTTATCCTTGTATCCAGTTTTATGCATTTGGATAGAAAATAAATTGAGCAAGTACACAAAACTAGAAAGGAACATAAAACAAGGAGGCATCTTCTCATTGGATTCATTTAACTCATACAACAAGGTGATCTTAAAAGAACTAGATGTCCTACCAGGATTTATTATTAGTGGGCATACTTTTAACAACATAAGAGATGTAGATGATATTCTATTGATGGCAGACACAAAAATTGCTGGTACTTTTAGACAAGGTAGGAAAGGAAAGCAACAAAAAAGTTTTTAGTTAATTTCCAGCAGAGAGAACAAAACAAAGAGTTGAGTTATCAAAGGGACTTAACTAAAACTGAGATATCCAAAGGCAATCTGCCCCATTCAGCTTGAAATTCTAATAAATAGTCAAAATGTCATGAATGTGGCAATAAAGATGAGGATACCAGTCTGAACAATGTAAGTATTGTAAATAGTTACAATAACTCATCTCAGAAAAATAGACAGAGGAGTAGATAGGTTTGCCTTTCACCTAGTTTACACTCCTCAGTCTTTTGAACAGGAGTAGAGGTTCATCCCTTGTTTCCTGTTTAGGATGGGGTTTCCACTTTCCTCATTGAATGTCCTCCACTTCTAGATCATTTCACATCAATTCTTATCTTCATCAACAACCTTCCTGATCTCATCAGTTTCCAAGTATTTATGCTGATGGCAAAACTATTTATTTCTGTCTTAAGTCCGATACATCTGACAGAGTAAACAGGCAGCTGCTTTCAAAAATGGTCTTCCAATCAATTGTTAACTGGAGCAAGAAATGGCTTGTAAATTTTAATGTCTCTTGTCTAATCATTATAGAGAACCATTTTTGCTCTTCATCAGCATGGATGATGCTAACCTTCAGGAGAGAAACTCATTGTATATTCTTGATCTCACATTTTCTTCTGATATGAAGTGGGGGAATTATATTGAGTCAATTGCTAGCTTTGCTGTAAAGGCTGGTTCATTGTGCTATGGTAGACCATTTTTTGTGTTAGGATCTATCTTGCACTTTCATGTATATACCATTCATTCATGCATATCTGGTCTGATGCTCTGGCTATGTATCTCAAGATTCTCAGCAAAATTCAATGAAGGGTCTGCAATGTTATTAGTCCAGACCTAGCACCTCGACATGTCATTTTCCCACCACCATGATGTGGCTTTCTTCTTTCTATGTATTTTCATGGCAGTTGTTCTAATGATCTCTCATCCTTGGTATCTCATCCACATGAATTTAAGGATACGCAAGCTCCAGGGCTACAGTGTCTGTTGTGTAGGAAACCCACCACCCCTCTTGAAAATGAACTTGTCTACAAACAAAGATGTTAAATAGTGGCATGTCAAAAGACAGACAGAGTCGGAGAAGTTCTTGGCTGAGCTAGTTATAGACTACTCAGGCGATTGCTGTACCTACTTACCAACCGAATAAACCCCTTTTATTGTTACGTGTTATTTGGTGTTTGTCTTTATTAACCCCAAATCAACATCATAACAGTGTCACAAGACGAATATCTTTTAATCGAATCATTCCTAACAGATTGTGAAATTATGGTCATGTTGAATGGGCTTGCTTCTACATTCTTCCATACAAATATGAGGGTCTCCAGGGCTCTATCCTGGGATCTATACTGTCCCTGATCTCCATCAATGATGTTATCAGTTCACATCTAGGCATTTATGAAAATGACACTACCATTTACTCCTGTCCCAGTAGCAAAACTTGTCAACTACTCTTGAAAAGGATCTCCAATCAGTGGTGAACTGGGACAAGAAATAGCTTGTAAATTTTAACATCCCCAAAACAAAACTACTTTCATTTAATCAGCACAGAGAACTTTTTCTGTATGTGATCAGCATGGCTGATGCTAAACTCCAGGAGGAGCCACATGTTATGCCTTGGTGGACTCACGTCAGAATACCAAGGACAGAGCATGTGAACAATGACAAAGTTTTCAAGAAATGTAAACAGTCAATATACTTAAATTCAGAAAGAAGCAGTTAAATATATAAAAAGAAAGGAGGGCTTGGAGAATTTGACCCTCACAGGACAAGTGAAACAGAGGAAAAGACCTCTTAACGTGTCTAACAAGTTTGTGTAAATGGATGGCAGAACAGTGAGGGAGAGTGATAGTAAAAAAGTAAACATTACTTAAGAGCTATAAAGGACAGGAAGTTGTGGAGAGCTGTGATCACCATTGACCTGAATGATCAAAAATGATTTGTGTAGTTTGGTGCTATAAGCTTCTTACTGTTGGGTAAATCAGCTGAGATTGACAGCAATCGAATGAAGAAATTACTTAAGAATAATCTACCTATAATGAGAGCAATAGCGTCTAAAATCATATATCAAAATCAAGTGCTGAATATGATTTGTACCAGTTTATCTATGTTAATAGCTTTGATGTGTGGCTTCTATATAAACCAAAAAAGTAAAGAAAAGTGGACCCTATTTCCATGTGTGTTTCAATGTCTAAACATTATTTTTATTTGTTAAGCAAATTGTTACAGAACATGAAATGTGGATACTTTACAACAAGTAAAGAGTTATTTGAATTTAAAAAAATATCAAATAATAAGGATAACTTAATATTTATTATTGCAAAATTTTTAGTTTCTCTATAAGTGAAGCCTTACAGCTATATCACATTGAAACACTGGTTATCATTTGATTGTCAAAGTTAATCAATATCAAACCTGGTCAGCACGTAGATGGCTGGCCATTTGGGAATACCAGGTGTTGTTTAGCTTGGATGTGCAGGTGGTGCAATGAATAAAAAGGCTCAGAAATGGAAATTAGAGTGCTGAGTTCCAATTCCAGTCAGGTTTGTTATATTCACTTACATACAAATACCCTTAGGAAAGGTATGACTCCATCCACCCCAGCTATAGATTAATTAGTATGATTTGTATCAGTAAATAATTATTATCTCCCCAAAATTATTACTATTTAAAATTAATTTCTGGCTTTAAATAACCTGCTAAAAGTTAATAAGCTGTAAAAAATTAAACATTCAATTTTAACTAGTGGATAGCTACTCGTATCTGAGTATGCCTATCTACTAGGATGGCTAACCAATCCCTGTTGCAGATGCCTACTCAGGCACATTTGTATTTGTTCAACACCCATAGAGCCCACCTGTGGTTTATACTGCAACTATATTGAGCACAGCTTACAGTTTCTGGCAGAGAATGCATTATCTGTCATGAACAAGCTGGTACGCTCAAACCATTGGTCATGATGACTTGTAAATTTGTGTCAGCACAACCATTGATAGCTCCCAAATAGTTTTGTCTACCCAATTTCACTCACAAGATCAACCTGTGGGATGGTTTTCAAAGGTGCTGCATGCTGTGATCGTCACCCCAGGATGTGTTGGTTGCTGTCTCAGTGGGAGTGATTGCAAAACACTTTCCCCTCCCCAGTTTATAGGCAGAACCACACAAATGCATGCTGGGATTTTTTCCTAGCCAATAGAATATAAGCCGGTTCTTGGTTTCATCTGACTTTGTCCCAGTCTGTTTTGCCTAGAAGTCATAACACTATATTCGTTTGTCTGAACTTTGCTCTCTCATGTCAACACAATTCTTAGTTTGTTAACTTTTTGCCTTATTACTGTTGCTTTGCCTTATTACTGTTAATTTGCCTTATTACTGTTAATTTGCCTTATTACTGTTGCTTTGCCTTATTACTGTTAATTTGCCTTATTACTGTTAATTTGCTTTATTCCTGTTGCTTTGTCTTATTACTGTTGCTTTGTCTTATTACTGTTGCTTTGCCGTATTACTGTTAATTTGCCTTATTACTGTTGCTTTGCCTTATTACTGTTAATTTGTCTTATTACTGTTGCTTTGCCTTATTACTGTTAATTTGCCTTATTACTGTTAATTTGCCTTATTACTGTTGATTTGCCTTATTACTGTTAATTTGTCTTATTACTGTTGATTTGCCTTATTACTGTTGCTTTGCCTTATTAATGTTGCTTTGCCTTATTACTGTTAATTTGTCTTATTAATGTTGCTTTGCCTTATTACTGTTAATTTGCCTTATTACTGTTGCTTTGTCTTATTACTGTTGCTTTGCCGTATTACTGTTAATTTGCCTTATTCCTGTTGCTTTGCCTTATTACTGTTAATTTGCCTTATTACTGTTGCTTTGCCTTATTACTGTTGCTTTGCCGTATTACTGTTAATTTGCCTTATTACTGTTGCTTTGCCTTATTACTGTTAATTTGTCTTATTACTGTTGCTTTGCCTTATTACTGTTAATTTGCCTTATTAATGTTGCTTTGCCTTATTAATGTTGCTTTGCCTTATTACTGTTAATTTGTCTTATTAATGTTGCTTTGCCTTATTACTGTTAATTTGTCTTATTAATGTTGCTTTGCCTTATTACTGTTAATTTGCCTTATTACTGTTGCTTTGCCTTATTACTGTTAATTTGTCTTGCATACATTGTTTGCTTGCTTTATATTATTTTTGCCCTGTTATTTTTCTTGTTATTGCTTATGACAAACTTTGTCAATTCTATTTGTTGGACAATTCTGTTATTTATTTAACCATGGCCACTAACTCTACACATACAATTCCCAGACTTTTAAACAACCCCACAATCCCGTTTTCATTGCATTTTCCACCAGTTTATGACTGCATACATAGAATTCAAAACCCAGATGTTCTAATTTTATTACTCCCATATATACATACAAGAACAGAAATATATAATGAAATGCCATACAAGCATGAATATATATACACACTAAGATATTTGTAGCTCTAAGGATAGATCTCTGGGGGTGGGGGGGCATCCCACATTAATGTAAAACGATCTAGAAGAGTAACCATTCATATAAAAATAAAGATAATTGTTAGTTTGAATCCAATTTTATGAATGACTGCAAAATACTTTACTCTCCACAGTTTATAGGCAGAAGCACACAAATGCATGCTGGGATTTCTTCCTA